GTGTGGGAGGAGCTCGCCTCCCTCCCTCAAAGCTAAAAGTGGTATAACACTGCGCAGCGAGCCACAATGTGTGTCAGAGGACCGTGTGCGCTCCAGAAGCAGATGACCGCTCCGAAATCTGCTGTCTGCTGTTTTTATTCCTAACTGGAGAGAGAATTGGCTCAGAGGTCATCATTCCCAGTCAGGACGAGGTGAGCATCTCAACGCGCTGCTTCTCTCTCACCCTTCAGATAAAACATTTGCATTTATTTGTTAATTATTTTTATTGTGTTTTGTTTTTATTTTAATGCGTTAGAAGGAGAGGGAAAAAAAGCGGCTCGTTGTTTTTGATCCGTCTGTGCGTCATGGTCACATTTTACGCACAAGCTCCTGAGAGATTTGTTTGTGTATATGTGTGTGTGTGTGTGTGTGGGGGGGGGGTGTTTAAACCCCACAAAGGAAGGAGTTTGGGATTTAATGTGGCTGTGTGTGGGCTTGGACGCGCAGTTTTGGAGGTGTGGGGAGGACGTGAGAGTAACGTGTCCGTGTCTCCGCAGGATCTTCCACTGCGGGGTAGAATGCCGGCGATCATCAGTAAAAACTCCGATTTGGAGTTTGACTCCTTGCAGCCGTGTTTCTATCCGGACGAGGACGATTTCTACTTCTGCTGTCCCGACTCTGCGCCCCCGGGGGAGGACATCTGGAAGAAATTCGAGCTGCTGCCCACCCCGCCCCTTTCTCCGAGCCGCGCGACGCAGCCAGGAGAGCCGGCCGCCGCCTCCCCGGACGCGGACCCCCTGGGCTTCGGCCTGGGAGACCCACTGGACTGGGCTTCCGAGCTGCTCTTCCTGCCCGAGGACGACATATGGGGCGCGTCGGACGACGGGAACCTGTTCGGCTCCGCTTTGGATACAAACCCGGACAGCATCATCATCCAGGACTGCATGTGGAGCGGCTTCTCCGCCCGGGAGAAGCTGGAGCGCGCGGTGACGGAGAAACTCGGCAAGGCTATTTCCACGAGCGCGGCGGCGGCGGCGGCGGCGGTGGTGGCGAGGAGCGTCAAGGCGCCGGAGGTGGTGAGCCGCAGCTCGGTGTCGGAGTGCGTGGACCCCGCGGTGGTCTTCCCCTTCCCCGTGAACAAGAAAAGCGGCACCAGGGACGCAGCCGGGACCCCCAACACGTCCAGCAGTCACGACAGCGCAGTCAGTGACTCAGGTGAGAATCCACTTCTTTCCTCTCCTGAACCCTCATCTGCTGCTCCTAAAGCTGCGCAGCCAATCTAATCAGAGGCTTGTTCATATGACTGGTCCCAGAATCGGATTACACCCACCCCCCACCACACACACATACACACGCGTGCGCACACACACACAGTTGTGGGTTTATCTAATCAGCAGGCTCTTCATCCGGCAGATGGCAGTAAAATGGGGGAATTGTCCGCCTTACTGAACTCAGCTGGCATCCAAGGCAAACAACAACAACACAGAAAGAAACTCACAACACACCAGGTTGTAGAGAGGGGTGTGTGTGTGTGTGTGTGTGTGTG